GCTCCCCAAGAGGGCCCTGGAAGGACCAGGGGTTGCGGGGGGGGGGTCCAGAGCTCCCGAGGCGGCCCGAGCCCGCCCCGAAGCAGGCCACGACAGGCTAAGGGGGTCCCGAGAGGGCCCAAGACGGTCCCACGAGGCTCCGAAGACGCCCAAGATGCCTTCAAGACAGCCGACGAGGACTCCAACACGCTCCAGGACGGACTCAAGAGGCTCCCCAAGAGGGCCCTGGAAGGCAAGATTCAGTAGTTTTCCGAGTGTTTGGGATTTTGGTTCTCGCTTTTCCCGCTTTCCATCGCGCCCTTCACGGCCTCGGAGACCCTTCAGATCGCTCCAAGAAGGCCTACGATTCCCCGACGAGGGCCCCAAGACGGCCCAGGATGCTTCCCAGACAACCCAAGTGTGCCCCAAGAGCGCGCCAAGAAAAGGCCCAGAGGGGCCCCGAGGCGGCCCGGACCCTCCCCGAAGCAGGCCACGACAGGCTAATGGAGGCCCCGAGAGGACCCTAGACGGTCCCAAGGGGCTCCGAAGACGCCCAAGCTGCCCTCAAGACGGCCGACGAGGACTCCAACACGCTGCAGGACGGACTCAAGAGGCTCCCCAAGAGGGCCCTGGGAGGCAAGATTGACTAATTTTCCGATGGTTTTTGAAGGATTCGGGCGTTCTCGCTTTCCCCGCTTCCCAGCGCTCCCTCACGACCTCGCTCGGAGGCCCTTCAGATCGCTCCAAGACGGGCCACGAGGCGCCGAAGAGGGCCCCAAGACGGCCCAGGAGGCTCCCCAGACAACCCAACTGTGCCCGAAGAGCTCCCCAAGAGAGGGCCCAGAGGGGAACCGCCAACCGATATTTCGAGTTCTCTGCCCTAGAGGCCGCCTGTAGGCCCCCGAAGGCCACCAAGAGGCTCCCACGAAGCCCCGCGAGGCGCCCAAGAGGCCCCCAGGAAGCCCCAAGAGACCCCCAAGGGGCTCCCAGAGAACGCCCAAGAGGCCCCCCAACACCCCCCAAGAAATCATGCCCCCAGAAAACCTTCCGGGGACATGGTTCATCATGGGCCCGAGAGTTCCCGGAGGACCCCAAAGGGCCCCCAGGGGCCCCCAGGGAACGCCCAAGAGACCCCCCAACACACCCCAACAAACCATGTCCCCAGAAAGCCTTCCGGGGACATGGTTCATCATGGTCCCGCGAGTCTCCAGAGGCTTCGAAGTACCATCATGCTACAGGAGAGCTGTCTGGGAAGTTGCTTGGGAACATGACTGATCGCCTTCTCGCGGCCCTCCGCAGATCGTTTCGCACAAAGTTGCCCCAAGTGCCCTCTTGAACCGACGACGACGACGACTACGACGACGAAACGACGAAGGACGACGACGACGACGACGACGACGACGTCACGCCCCAACAGGCTCCCCACGACGCCCCCAAACCCATGCTCCCAGAAGGCCTTCTGGGAACCCGATTCATACGCCCTCCGCCCTCCTACACAACCATTTTCCTCGAAGGCCTGTCGGAATGCAGATTGGCATGTGTGTATTGTGGTCCACTACTTCAGTGGAGCAGTGAATTCGTCAAGGGCCTGCTAGAACCTGCGCGCGCGCGAAGCGCGCTCGATGGTTCTAGTTCCCTACCTAGGCTCTGCCTAGAGGGTTCTGACTCTCTTTCTTTCTTAAAGGGGCCGGGCAGTGCACACCGCCCCGGGCGGTTCCCCCAGTATCCGCCCCGCGGTTCCCCCAGTTACGTCCCCTTAGTTTAGCGTTGCTTATCTCATCTTAGTTTAGCTGATTTCATCTTAGCTTAGCTTAGCTTCATCTTAGTTCAGGTTTATCTTAGCTTAGCTTACCCTCATCTGAGCTTTGCTGAGCTTTAGCATAGCAGAGCACATCATTGCATAGCATAGCGTAGCATAGCATAGCGCAGCATATCATAACATATCATAGCCCAGCATAGCATAGCATAGCGCAGCATAGCATAGCATAGTATAGCGCAGCACACACAGCACAGCACAGCACAGCGCAGCATAGCATAGCATAGCATAGCATAGCATAGCATAGCATAGCATAGCATAGCATAGCATAGCAGAGCATACCATGGCATAGCAGCAACGCAAAGGCAAATCAGCAGCAGCGACAGCAAAGCGAAGCACACGCAACACACACAGCAAAGCAAAGGCTATGTCTAGAGGGTTAGTTTAGCTTAGCTTAGCTTAGCTTAGCATAGCGCAGCGCTGCATTAGCATATCATAGCATACCATAGCCACGCATAGCATAGCATAGCATAGCATAGCATAGCGCAGCATAGCATGGCGTATCATATCATAGCATAGCATAGCGCAGCTTAGCATAACATAGCATATCATAGTATAGCTTAGCATAGCACAGCGCAGCATGACATATCATGGCTTAGCATAGCATATCATAGCATAGCATAGCGTAGCGCATCATATCATAGCATAGCATAGCATAGCGCAGCATAGCATGGCATAGGATAGCACATCATAACATAGCAACTAATGCTGCTTTCCTAGGGGCTCCAACTTCTAGGTAGGGTCACACTGGGGTAATTTGTATATGTGTATATATTTATACATAGCTGTAATAATACCGTGAGTGCCCATTTTAATTGTTAGTATAAAAAAATGCCCGGTTGGGGCCCGCTGTGGGCCCCTGGGTCCCGAGCGCCCCTGGAGGGCCCAAGACGGTTCCCGATGGCTTCCAGAGGGCCCAAAGCTGGGCCAACGGCCCAAAGCTGGGCCAAGAGGGCTACAAGACGCCCGCGATGGTCCCAAGACAATCCCAAAGGCCTTATTTTCGCCCCAAGGCACCCCAATAGGTTTCCCAAGCGAACCCCAAGACGCCAAAATCGCAACATCCTTTTGAAAAAAAACGTATTTATTTAATCGCTTCGCTCATTCCGCCCGCCCTGGAGCCCTCTTCAGGGCCTCTTGGGGGCCTCTTGGGGACCTCTTGGGAGTCTCTTGGAGCTCCTTGGCGGCGTCTTGGGGGCCCCCAGGGCCTCTTGGGGGGCTCTTGGGGGCCTCTTGGGGCGGGGGGGGGTAGTCAATTGCGGCTCCCCCCTCGGAGGCCACGATCCTCGTGAGGGGTGTCGAAAAAGTGCCCCGAAAACCGTCTCTGACCCGAGTCTGCCGAAACCCTGCCGGGGTACTGTTCGCCCGGAGACCCCCAGGGGGCCGCCCCGCGCGCGCGAAGTAGAATATTGTTAACCAGTTACTGGAGATCTTAGCACGCCTCTGGCCCGTTGGGCCGGCGAATTTTCAGCATCAGCAACTTCTCGCCGTCCCGACGCCCCAAGACGGCCCAATACGCCCCCCAGATCGCTCCAAAACGGCCCAAGAGGCCCAATAGGGCCCCAAGACGGCCCAAGAGGCGCCCAAGACGGCCCAAGGGCGCCCAAAAACGGCTCTCGAGGGGTGCCAAGGACCCCCACAGAGGCCTCGAACAGGCCCCAACTCCCCAAGAAGCCCCCCCAAATACCCCAAGAGATGCCAAAACAGCCCCCAATACTGGTCGGAACTGTTTCTGGAATGCACCCTGCAAGCCTCTTGGGCTCCCTAGATTAGTACGGCGACGGTCAGATAACATATACATTACTAGACATGTATGTCTGTATGTCTTCATGTCTGTATGTCTGTATGTCTGTATGTATGTATGTGTGTATGTAGATATGTATGTATATGCATGGGTATAGGTATAGGTATATGTATATGTATATGTATCAGGGTACGTATGTGTGTACGTATGTTTGTATGCATGCGTGTATATGTGTGCACGCATGTATGTTCGTATGTATATATACACATAGATACATAAATGTGTGTATAGGTATGTGTATAGGTAATGCAATCCAATGTACTGGAATGCCATCCAAGGTTTTGTAATACCATGCAATGTAATGTAGTAGTGCAATGTAATGCAAAGTAATGTAATGTAGTGCAATGCGCTGCAATGCCATGAAGTGCAATGTAATGTAACTGTAATTCAAACGTACTGTATGCATGTAATGTAATGCAATGTAATGTGCGTGTGTATGCATATTTATATATATATGAAAACATGCATGCATGTATGTATGTGTGCATGTTTGTATGTATGCAACGATCCATGTATGTATATATGCGTACATGTGTGTGTCTATGTGTATATATATATATGTATGTATGTGTGCATGTATGTATGTATGTATGTACGTACGTACGTACGTATGCATGCATGCATGCATGCATGCATGCATGCATGCATGCATGCATGTATGTATGGATGGATGTATGTATGCATGCATGCATGCATGTATGTATGTATGTATGTATGTATGTACGTATATGTAGTGATGTACGTGTATATTTGTATGCATGCATGTATGCATGTACGTATGTATGCGTATATATGTATCTACACACAAATGTATATACGTGTGTGTGTGTGTGTGTGTTTGTGCCCGGACCCCTTGGGGGGGTAAGTCCATATCCACCGCCTGCCGAGGCCGCGAAGATCGTCGCCCCAGGCGGCGGGTATGGACAAATCCTCGAGAGACCGCCGAAGAGACCGCCGAGGGCCGCTGGAGACCGCCGAGGACCGCGGAGGCTGACTGACAAAAGAAGGTCCCCGCGTGGTCGAAATCGCGGCCCCTGAGATCCAACGTCACGAAGAAAATCGACCCCCTCGGAACCTGTCCTCGTGCGCGTTCTGGTCAGGACATCGAGGAGAGCCAAACCGTAGCGACGAGAGGCGCTCCAGGAGTGCCACAGTTGACCCCCACCGCTTCCCTGAGATCCGAAGTCACGCACGAACAGATCCCAACATCGTTGAAGAGTTAGACCAACGCCCCGGACCCCATCTTTCTGCGCCAGTCCAAGCGGATCGATCCGTGAGGGCCCCAGCGCCCGAGACCAGACAGAGTTGCCCGTTGCGACACAGACGCGACGCCAGGACATCGCGGGGAAGGCCGGCTGGCAGCAGGGGGGCTCGCGTGGTCGAAGGCGCGGCCTCTCCGAGGTCCCACGTTCGCCGCATGATCCGCGAGGTGGAGGTGCCCCCGGAGGCGTGCGGCGAGGCACCGGCGGCGGATTCCTCGCGCACGCGGCCCCCCGCGCTGGCCGCGCGGCCGGGGCGGTGCCGATGCCGCCTGCGGCGGGGGCGGTGCCGATGTTGCCTGGCCGCGGTGCCGCTGATGCCTCGTGGCGGGGCGGCATCTGTAGGCCCGACCAGGTTTCCAAGAAGCGTCGGGCCTCTGGCCTGAGGTCCTACATCGTTTTCATCGTGGCCTCGGGCCCTACAGTGTTTAGCTTTTATTGAGCTTCCAGGTTCGTGAATCATGGGAGCCTTGCGTACTTTTGCAATTCCGCCTTCAGAGTGTGTTAGCATCGACTAGCGTTTGGTAATCGATGAGATGCGCCGAATCAGTTGCGTCGATTAGCGTCCACTAGCATCGATTTAGCGCCGACTCGCCAGAGCCACCCCTCTCCAATCCTCTCCTGTCCCCCTCTCCCTCTTCTTTGCCCCTTCTCCCCTCTCCTGCTCCCTCCCGCGCTCCCCTCCCCCTGCTCCCTCCCCTTTCGCCTCGCCCGCCGCCCCGCCGCCCACGGCAACGATGACGACGGCGACGACGACGACGACAGGCGGCCGACGACGGCGGCCTACGACGACGACGAAGACGACGACGACAGGCGGCCGACGACGATGACGACGGCCTACGACGACGACGGCGACGGCGACGGCGACGGCGTCGGCGTCGATGACCGACGACGGCGGCGACCGACGACGACGGCGAGGGCGACCGGCGACCGCCGACCGCCGACGCCGGACCGGTGCTCAGTGGGCGTCGCGGCGCCACCGCGCGGGCGCACGTGCGGCCAGCGAAGCCGCTCACCACCCCGCGGGGGGGGGGGCCGAGGCAGGGACGGCGGCCTTCTCTCGGAGCCTCCGAGGCCTCCTGCAGGCCTCCTATGAAGGGCCTTGAGGAGGCTCCGCCCATGAGGAGACGTCGGGATCTCAGGGGCTCGCAGGGTATTTTGGAGACTCGGAAGGCCCTCCACTGGCCTCCTGTTTCTTCCTCCCCCCTCCATGCCTTGCCCTTGTAAGTAACTCCTCCTTGTTCCGCCCCCGCACGTGTCCGTAGGGCAGGCTGGGCGTTTCGCTTGAGTTTTACTCACCAGTTCTGATCTTGAAGCTTTGAATTCGCAACAGCTTCACGGATAGAGGGCGGGCCGTTTTGAAATGTGTTTCTCGCCCCCCAGCGCCGCGCACATTCATTTTAAAAGTTGGCAGAAGTTTAGCGGACGGAGGGTGGGTCGTGTTCAAAATATGAATCCCGCCTCAGCGCCGCGCACATTCTTGTTACAAGCTTGCAAGGGTTTCACGGATGGAGGGCGGTTCTGTTTGTATATGTGGCTCTTGTTTTAGCGCCGCGCGCAAGTTTCTCAAGAGTTTGCAACGGCTTCACGGATGGGGAGCGGTTCGTGTTCAAATGATGTTCGCGCCTCAGCGCCGTGCACATCCGTATTGAGTGTTTGCAGCAGTTTGACAATTTCGCATGGTTGGAGTTCCAGGAAAGCTGTTTGGGCACGGGTTAGGATACTCGGGACGCAATAGTCACAATGGCTCGCGGCGCTGAAGTTCCAGCACGGTTGACGCTTCTCAGACGCCTGTCTTCTAACGGGCCGTTTCCCGTAATGGTAATACATTCTTGTATGGGGCCAGTGAAGACGGAACGTGGAGGGAGGGTATATTCAACGGCTTCGCTCATTCCGCCGGCCCATATTGTCGTACCGGTGTCGATTGACCGTATTATTGTTGTCAATGCGGCTCGGCTGGTCGGTCGGGAGCTGTATTCCTGTTGGAGGTTCCTGCGGTGTTGTGTGGGCAGTCGTTTTTTGGCAGTCTCGTTAGGGTTTCTGCGGAGGCCTCCTGACGGCGGCATTTTGGAGCCCCATGTGAGCCTCTCGGGGTGTCCTGGGGGCCTTTGGGGGGCCTCTTGGGGCTTCTCGGGGGCCTCTTGGGGCCCCCCTGGGGGCATCTTGAAACAGAAAGCTCGGAATGTCAGTTCGGGTGCGCAATGTCGGTCCTCTCTTGGAGCCGTCTTTGAAGCCTCTTGGCCCGTCTTGGAGGCCGCTTGGGCGGCCTTGAGGCCCATTTGGGCCGTTTTGGGGCCCTCTTCGGGAGCTCTTGAGTCGTCTTGGGGTGTTTTGGGGAGCGGTTTGGGACGTCTGTGAACGTCGGATTGTTTATCAAATTTTGCCAGCATTCCAACGACAATTTGGGGTGGCAAACGGCAGGAGTCGTCAGCCATGCCGCTCAGTCGAGGACCTCGGCGCCGTGCTCGCAGTCCCCGTTCTTGCAGTCTGAGGTCCAGCCAGCTCGTCAATTCGCATGGTCGCCGTTGGTGTCGTGGCCTTCGCTTCTTTGTGTACTTTCTTCTTTCGCCAGGCTCCCAGTCCATCCTCTTCTGCATGGCTCTGAGCGCGTACTGTACCGCCTTTCCAGACCTTTCACCAGCGCGCACTTCCGTCACCTTCTTGCTGATGTGTTTTGTCTCCGTCTCTCGTCGCTCCACAAGTTAAGCAGACGCGGTTTACAATGATTTACAACATGCCGGCTCCAGTGAGGCTGGTGGGAAGGATGCGACATCTTTTTCTGTCAGCACCAACGTGTTGACGCTTCGCGTGTAACCACCAGCCCATCCAGAAACGATGCCCAGGGGAGTTAAGGTGATCAGGGAAGTGGGGGAGCATGCAGAGAAACACGGGGCGGAGGAAGTACCCCAAGAGGGGGAGGATGGAGCAGGAATCGTCGTCGTCGCCGGGGGAGGAGGAGGAGGAGGAGGAGGAGGAGGAGGAGGAGAAAGTGGAGGAGGTGGAGGTGGAGTAGGGAGAGGGCGAGGAGGAGGAGGAGAAGGAGGAGGAGGAGGAGGAGGAGGAGGAAAAGGAAGGAGAGTTGGGTAGCTTGGGGATCCTCTTGAGGCCTCGTATGGGGTCTCTTGGAAGCCTCTTGGAGGCCTCTAGGGGTCCTCTGGGCGCCCTCTTGGGGCCCTCTTGGGAGCTTCATGGGCACTCGTGAGGCCGTCTCGGAGGACATCGGCCAACACAGAGGGGAGCTCCAATAAGCGTCCCCCCTCGGGACCACCGAACATCGCCTCCTGGACCCTTGGAGCGTTCTTGGGGCGCTCTTTGGGCCGTCTGTGGCTCTCTTGGGCCTCTCCTGGGGCGCTCTTAGGCCATCTTGGAGCCATCGTGAGGCCTCGGATGGCCATCGGAAGCGAACAGTCTAGAAAGCAACCAGCATTGGTTTTCGTGCGGTTTTTGCAGGACTTTGGATTCTCGGGGGCCGCCTCGGAGGTCTTGGAGGCGTCTTGAAACCGTCTTGGAGCGTTCTTGTGGCCTCTTGGAGCATCTTGGGAGCCGACTTGGGGCATCTTGGACTATCTTGAGCCATTTGGGAGGTCATCTTGGGCTTTCGGGGGCCCCCTTGGAGCCATCTTGGGCGAACAAGTACCCTCTGACACCTCGCGGGGCGCCCCGTCCAGGTCTCGTCTTTGGATGGACAGCTACTGTGAACCAAAGCCGACCGCAGGTGTGCGACGTTTGGGCGAGGTGCGCCACGCGTGCCAGGGGCGCCACGCGCGCCAGGCACCCCTGGGGCCCGAGCGCGCCAGGCACCCCTGGGGCCCTGGGGCCCGAACGTGCTCCGAGTGCGCCAGGTGTGCCGCGCACTCCAGCGGTGCCAGGTGCGCCGCGTTCGGGGCACGTGCAGAGTGCGTCAGGTGCGCCTGCGCACGTGACATCACACATCGGGAAACATGCCGGCCCCCGCCATCCTTGTCGAAAGCCGATGCCCATAATTGTGTATGCTGGGCCTGCGCACAGCAGACCACGCGCCACCACCCCCGCCGTCCCTGTCAAAAACCACTTGACAGTGATCGCGGAATGGCCGCGCATGATCCAGATTTTGCCGCGAGGTGTAGGGGTGGTAGCCCTGCGCACAGCAGGGAATATGCTGACACCCCCGCCGTCCTTGTTAAAAACAATACGAAGTGCTCGCAGGCCTCACGAACATGACTCAAGACTTTGCCCCAAAGTGTATGTTGTATCGATTTTTTACAGGAATGGTGGGGGGGCGCATCGGGTTGGCCGCGCATGCTCCAAATGTGAAGGCAGAGTGCAGTTTCGTTTTTTGACACGGATGGTGGGATGCGGGTGGTCATGGTGTCGGCATGGTGCCTTGTTGGCCCCCGGTCGCCTGGGGGAAGGGGTGCATTTTCATAAGGAACAGTGATGACACCTCCCCGAAGGTGAAGAAGGGGGTTGGAAGAGTAAAGTTCTTAGACCACCTACGCCCAGAGGGCTGGTGGGATTTCTTGCTTCTTCTTTGGCCTCCATCTGGTACTTCAGCTCGGCGCTCGTCATGGTCAGGTCTTCCCTGCACTCTTGGAGCCACCATCTTCCTGTTTTCGTCTTTTGCTTCACGGTGACCGTCCGCAGGCAGCGCTGGCACGACCACAGCTTCCCTTTCTTGACCATCTGGTGCGGCGTGTTCTTGATCAGGTTCTCGAAGTTGTCCTCCCGCTTCTCCTGGCTCGATATTTTCTTGTTCGGTTCATCCTGTTCTTCCCAAGTCGTCGGCTTCACCCTCTCGAACAGCTCCAAGGTCGCCTGTGTGATCATCGCCCTCACCAGCTGTGATGTAGTTCTTGCCAAGTCGTAGTAGCCCATCTGCGCCTCCGAGATCTCATGTCCGCCGCTATCTCGTCAGCCCTCTGGTTGCCGTGCGGGGCCGCCATCTCAACGCCTCTTCGCTTCGCCTCCTTGGGTCTCGATGTGCAGCACCATGACGGTAGCGTCGCCCCTATTGATCAGCGCTTTCCCGATCCGCTTCCAAAGGTCGCCGTGCCCCTTCTTGTATCACCTTTGAGGTATTCCTGTTGTTCCAGCCTGTGTAGAGGATCTCCGAGTCCGTGTAGACGGTGTTGTAGCCCGTGGTCGACTCCAGATTGTCCAGGAACGCCGTGATCTCTGGCCTGCTGTTGGATTGCCGCGCTTCTGGCAAGGGCCCTGAGCACTCGGCGGT